TTCTGGTCAGCCTTGGTACCTCAACACCTTCGCCGCCGCCGAGCAGCTGTACGATGCTATTTACGTCTGGAAGCGCAACGCCTTCAATCAGCGTCACCTCGGTCTCGCTTCCCTTCTTCCAGGCTCTGATCCCCGGCATCTCCACCGGCACCTACGCTTCCACCTCCTCGACCTACACTTCGATCCTCTCCGCCGTCAAGGCCTACGCTGACGGTTACGTCGATGTCGCCGCCACCTACATCCCCGGCGGTGGCAACATTGCCGAGCAGTACAACCGCAACACGGGCCAGCCCCTCTCTGCTCGCGATCTCACCTGGTCTTACGCCTCGTTCCTGACCGTCGCTCAGCGTCGCCGCGAGGTTGTTGGTCTCGGCTGGGCCAACTCTGCCGCCAGCGTCGTCCCCAACACCTGCTTCGCGACGTCCGTCCAGGGCTCGTACACCAGCGCCACCGCGACCAGCTTCCCGGCCAACCAGACTCCCGCCACCGGAGCCCCGACGGGCACTGCCACGACTGCGACCGCCCCGGCTGCCACCACCACGGCCGCCTGCGTCCCCCCCGTCAACGTTGACATCACCTTCAACGCCCGCGTCGTCACCCAGTTCGGCCAGACTGTCAAGATTGTTGGCAACATTCCTCAGCTCGGCAACTGGAACACGGCCAACGCCATCTCCCTGAGCGCCTCCCAGTACACCTCCTCCAACCCCGTGTGGAGCGGCACCCTGAGCCTGCCCGCCGGCCAGGCCATCCAGTACAAGTACATCAACGTCGCCTCCAACGGCGCCGTTACTTGGGAGAAGGACCCCAACCGCTCTTACAGCATTCCCTCGGCCTGCGGCACCACCAGCGCCATCAGGACCGACTCCTGGCAGGCTTAAGTCGACTTTCCTTTGTTGGCTAGTCGGTACATTGGAGGGTTGAGGAAGGCCGGGTGGTTAAGTCCGGCTCGGCTTTCTTCTACACTCAAGTTGCAATCGCCTCCGCGATGGCGCTTTTCATCAGACGATGGGCGGCCATGGTGGTGATGTCAGCATACACCTGGCATTGGCCAGCATGACTCGAACAGGGAACGAACGAATGAGAGAAAAGACAGTACATATGCATAGAACCAGATACATATTGACGATGATGAATTTCGATTCTTATTTTCTAAATATTTCCAATGCTGCCTCTGAAAACGTGATGTGACTGCGACTATCAAAGAGTGGGGAAAGGGGGCCAACTTGCTCGATCAGTAGTCGCTGCGCTACGACAGATGAACCCTCATCACGCCCAGCGACGAGCTGGAATCCGAAAGCCTAATATCGTCATCTTTTTCTGAGCGACCTCTCTCGCCGTCGGTCCATTAGCTTCTTCAGCCCTGGCCCGGATTTTTTTAAGCAGGTCCGGGGCCATCGGCCTGATGGGGAAGGTGTACGTGGGTTCGCCTTCGAGGTTGGGAAAGGGGCTGCAACTTTCGTGGCCCGGGTATTTCTCCGCACTGCAACTGAACAGAAAGTTTGTCCACATGATAAGGCGGCGAACAGTCGAGGTGTAGACCCGAGCTGGTTGATCCGCGAAAACGATCCGTAGGACGATGGCGATGCTTTCGTCGGCGCGTGCGTGGTCATAGATGCCGCTAAGTGCTGTCAGGCCGCATAACTGACGCTCCCTTCGGGCAACGACGCCGGCTTTCTGGCAGGACTTGTGGGAGCGCAATCGTTTCAAATCCGTGCGGATGGGTCCGAGCAAGCGTGCGAGGATGTCAGCACGATACACCACAACCTGATCTACCTTTGTGAGCAGAGAAGGCTAAGATCGGGTGAGCGAAAACATACCTAGGACGCTTGGTGGAAGAAGGAAGTTCACGTCTCGGCAGTCCGTCGTCTCATGACCGTCATCGAAAAGAATGCTCCCGTTGTCGTAAACTTCGATATCCCAAGCCAACATCAAGCATGTTTGTGTGAACAGCCCCTCCTGGGCAAGATGCCAAGAAATAGTGAGATGAATCGGAAGAGCCTTTGCCATCGCAGGTTCGAGCCATCGACTCACGATCAATGACGTATGCCAGCGACGGAGAGGTGCCAGTAGATCGTACATTTCTGCTACCTTCAAGAGTGCGAGTAGTTTCTCATGATCAATTTCCACAGGAGGCTGTCTCCTGCAATCTGTGGCTTCACAGATCAGATCGCTGCTCGCCTCCTTCCCCATATGCAGGTATCTCAAAATGATGAGAAGAGGCTCGGGGTCGTCATCAGATAGGTGAACCTCCCACCGCCTGTCGGCAGGTCTAGACTCTTTGAAGGGACCAGTCAGCATCGCCCGGAATACTACAGAGGCCGAGATAAGTCGGTGAGATTCGACCATGGCCGCAACTCCAGCCTGCCCTATGATAAGGGTCAAGTCACTTCTTGAGCTGAAGGAAGAAAAGGAGGGGGCGTTGCTATTGAGTGTGCTGAGGCTCAGTATCCTAGAGTCGGTCATATCGAATGTCGCTGTTGCTGCTAAGTTGGTCCACATTGGCTGGAGGATAATGTGATCAGTGAGCTTTCGATGCACAGGCGGCAGACAATTTGAATATGCGTAGCTGACGTCAAAGGAACGCCAAAGATTATGGATCTGTTGCGCTCATAAAATTTCAGAAATAAGGTTGCGGCCAACCTTGACAGCAGCCGCGACTTCAGCGCCCCCAAGGTGCGAAAGTGACCAGACCGAGACGTCGACAACATAAAGTCCAGTGGAGCAACACTACGCTCCACGACATTGAATTTGAGTGCGCTAAAAGTCTCTGTAAGAATACAGTCGCTGTAAGAATACACACAATCCATCACCTCTGTGCGTCGGCGGGTTTCAGCTCCATCATGTCTAGCCACTCCATGGCGAACGCCGTCACGATCTTGGTCCAGTCCCTCACTGTCGGCATGTCGAGATGGTCCCCATCATCGTTCATCGTGTGCCACACAGACGGGAATGGCGTCGGGATCAGGTGCAAGATAGGAACACCCTTTGCCATGAAGGGTTCGTGATCATCGCCGACGAACCCGCCGCGGAGCTCCTTAGAGCTCAGCTCACCATCGGGCAGGAAAGGTGCGTTGGGCTTGGACTCAAGGAGACGGAGTTTGCGCATGCGGTTTTCAATAGAAGCGAGGTTCTGGTAGGCCCAATGGGTTGGCGTAAAATAGGAGGGGATGGAGGGGTTGGCGGCACCGAGGAGGTCAAGCAAGACGAATACACTGATTTGGTCCAAGGGGTTCTTGTAGAAAGACATGGCCGGGTTGGGATTTTCCCATTCGGTAGCGAGGGACCTGGGCAACCATGTCAGTGAGGTAGCAGCACATGTCACAAGAACACGCAACGTACCGGGATCCGTAGAGAGAATCGGTGTCAGTCCAGGACACGAACGCTTCCTCGCCGTCGAGCAGGAGAATCTGGATGCCCATGTCCATGGCCGGGGTACCACCACTCTCGCCGAGGCCGACCATCTCGTCCTGCATCTGGGTGATGTAGGGGTCAATGTAGCGCGCAACGTGCATCAGCATGGCACATGGCGCAGCGCTGTCGGTGGCGCCGATGAAGCCATCAGGTTTGATCTTACTGTCATAGTGGGCGACGAGGGTCAGCCAGTTGGTCTGGCCTGGCTTCGTCCAAGGGGGTTCTCTCCGGATAATGAGGTTCTGGAACGGAATGTCCTTGTTGCCAGTGGCAGGGGTTTTCCCGGTTGAGTTTTGCCATTGAATGGACCACTTGGGCAGCTGCGTCTTGAAGAAGTTGACAAAGTGCGCCTGGGTCTTGACCTGACCCGGCGTGCCTGGCACACGAGGAATGAGGATGGGGGCGAGAAGTGCGCCGGTTTTGGGGTCTAGCTCGTCGTCGCTCGATGTGATGTTGCGCAACCAGTCATCGTCGAGCGGCTGATAAGCGAGCACGGTAGACGCGAGGAAGACGAAGTGAAGGAGGATGAGGATGATGGCCTGGGGTGATAGGGGTCCTTTTGCCATGATGGGTGTGGGTCAGCGTACTGGGCTCTCTCTCTTAGGCTTTCATGCTGCGGAAAGGCGTGATGAAGTGGGCGTAGATGACTTCTGCCCTGGTGAGATGGTCGCTGATTGGTGAGTGGGAGCGAAGGTCTCGCTCTTTGTTCTCGACGGAGGCTTCACTCTCATCAAGAAAAGAGTCGTGTCAACTTGGCCTTGTTCGCGACGGACGCGATTGATCCAGGGGGTAGCACGCTAATCCGAATCGGATACTCGCATGAACAGTGCGACGTTTCACAGGGCCAGTCGCTGGCAGGTGCTTCCGTCTGGAGAGGTTTGCCTGGCTTCGCAAGGGCTTGCCGTCTGACCTGACGGAGCGCCCATAGTTCCTGCTACCAGGTACCGAGGTAGGCTCCTTTTAATAAGTCAACTATACGCTGGGCACGTCTTGGAAGCCGACCTGTCGTCCACTGGGTCCTTCATTCCATCATCCACCAACACCAGACAAGACCATCGCGACAGCCCTGCCCTTCTGACCGCCTTCATCGTTCAAGCTTGGCACATGATGGACGACTAGATTCAAGAAGCACAAGGCCAGCCGATGCCGTTGCTCATCCATTGCCCCCCCGTCGATGCCTCAATGCATCCCACCCGCAGAAGCTGCCGCTGCGGGCATGCTTTGAGTCAGCTCCACGTATTTGGTGGATGAATGGCAGACTGCTTCCGAATCTACCAGCATCCGAACTGGTGTAATGGCTAACATTTGACGCTCTCACCGTCAGGCTCAGGGTTCGATTCCCTGGTTCGGAATCTTTTGGACCAATCCAGATTTTTTTTTTGGCAATCGTTCTTTTGTTTCACTGAATGAATCGCCCATGTCCACGCAAGCGACTCAGCCGTTGCACGTCGCGAGGTGTTTGCCACAGAAGCCTACCGGCATCGTCTTTAGCAGCTGCCAATCCCATCTCGGTAGCTCTCTACCCGACGATCATCGCCTTGGTTGCGCCTAGCGTCTCTGCAAAGCTCCTGTTTCTCCCTTTTACCCGGCATTGGCCCTGAGTTGGGCTCGTTGCACAGGGCACTTTGTCCGCCATCTGCCGTGGCTTAGAGCTTGGTTTTACCCCACCAGGTACCCCGCGACAAGGGGCAAGAGTGCGCCTCGGCCGCCTGGCTCTATCAACCGCTGGCCGGCAAACGTCATGTTCGTCGCCAAAAGCACACCAAGGGTAATCCGGTACACAGAGAGACCTAGACGGCACCATTCTGACTCGAATGCACGCGAACAGGTCCCACAGCGCCGAGCCGGTTCAATTGGCCCCGCACGCCAAATAACGTCCAAAGTCCTGTCGAACAAACAGGCTAAAGGCATCGTATCATCCGGTGGCCCTCCCCCACAGCCTGGAGGCGATGGAACCTTGGAACCCAGCGAGCCGGAGCATGACGATCCCTATGACGGAGAAACTTACAGGGCGACGGCACATCATGGAGCGAACTGTGGTTGAAGCAATATAAAGATGGCGACGATCCAGGCACCGAAACCGTCCCTCAGGCGCAAGCTCTCTCACCTAAGACACGAGGATCGCGAGCTTCATCACCACCAAGATGCGCGGACTGATTCTCCTCGCGACTGTCGGCCTAGCGACTGCCGAAGACGGCCTCGCCGCGTGGCTGCGGTACGCCCCAATCCCACATGCCAAATGCTACCACGGCAAACTGCCGTCGGTCATCGTCACGCTCAATGCCACCGAAGGCCTTCCTATCCACACCGCCGGCAAGGAGCTCGCAGATGGCATCAACGGCATTTTCAGCAAAGAGTTGACTTTCGGCGATGCTTCTGAGGAGGAAGCCACCATCACTGTCGGCACCTTGGAGGCATATCTCGAAGATGGTGGTGCCATTGATGAACTTCCCGAGCTCATCGAAGATGGATACCACCTCAACATCTCCGGCGCCAATGTTTTGATCCTCGGACAGAACGAACGAGGTGCACTTTACGGAGCCTTCAAATACCTCGCACGCCTCGCACAGGGCGAGATCAAGGATGAAGTCTTGACCTCGAACCCCGACGCTCCGATTCGATGGGTCAACCAGTGGGACAATATGCGCGATGGAGGAACTCACGGTAGTGTTGAGCGAGGCTACGGCGGTGATTCCATCTTCTTCTGGGATGGAAAGGTCCGCGAAGACCTGACACGTGTCGGCGAGTATGCTCGTCTGCTGGCCTCCATCGGCCTGAACGCCGTCGTTGTCAACAACGTCAATGCTAACGAGACGACCTTGACACCCGAGAACATGGATGGCGTTGCCCGCATCGCCGATGCCTTTCGCCCGTACGGGATCAAGCTCGGTCTCTCCCTTAATTTTGCCTCGCCTCAGCTGCTGGGAGGCCTCGATACTTTCGACCCTCTCGATCAGAAAGTCATCGACTGGTGGCAGGGTATCACAGACGCTCTGTACGAGCGGATTCCTGACATGGCCGGATACCTCGTCAAGGCCAACTCGGAAGGCCAACCCGGACCGATTACATACAACAGGACGTTGGCCGACGGCGCCAACATGTTTGCCCACACCCTTGACCCATACGGCGGCATTATTCTGTTCCGAGCCTTTGTCTACGATCACCAGAGCTTGAACCAGGACGCCAACTGGAAGGCTGACCGTGCCAACGCGGCTGTCGAGTTCTTTGACGGTCTTGACACCGAGTTCGCCGATAACGTTGTCATCCAGATCAAATATGGCCCCATCGATTTCCAGGTCCGTGAACCTGTGTCGCCTCTCTTCTCTCAACTGCATGAGACGGGCAGTGCGGTCGAGCTCCAGATCACGCAAGAATACCTTGGCCAGCAGGCTCATCTTGTCTACCTTGCCCCCATGTGGAAAGAGCTTCTCGACTTTGACCTGCGCGTTGAAGGCCAAGACTCCACGCTGAAGAGCATTGTCAGCGGAAAGCGGTTCGGCAACAAACTTGGAGGCTACGCCGGTGTTGTCAACGTTGGCCACAACACTACTTGGCTCGGAAGCCATTTGGCCATGTCCAACCTGTATGCTTACGGCAGACTGGCATGGGACCCTTCTGCGGAGTCGGTCGAGGTTCTGGAGGAGTGGACCAAGATGACGTTCAACCACGACCCTCTCGTAATCGACACCATCACGAAGATGTCGATGGAGTCATGGCCGGCGTATGAGAACTACTCGGGCAACCTGGGTGTCCAGACGTTGACCGACATTCTCCACGGCCACTACGGTCCCAACCCCGCCTCGCAAGACAACAACCCCTGGGGTCAGTGGACGCGCGCCGACGCCAACAGCATCGGCATGGACCGCACCGTGTGGAACGGCACCGGGAACGCCGGGCAATATCCCCAAGAAATTTACGAGATGTACGAAAACATCGAAACCACCCCCGACAACCTTCTGCTCTGGTTCCATCACGTCCCCTACACCCAGCTCCTCAAGAGCGGCAAGACTGTCATCCAGCACTTTTACGACGCCCATTACGAGGGCAGCGCCGTGGCGCAGACGTTTGTGCCCCTCTGGGAGAGCCTCAAGGACAAGATTGACGAGGAGCGCTACGAACACGTGCTCTTCCGCCTCATCTACCAGGCTGGCCACTCGCTAGTGTGGCGTGACTCTGTCAACAACTTCTACTTCAACAAGTCGAGCATTCCCGACGAGGCTGGCCGCGTGGGCAACCACCCCTACCGCATTGAGGCTGAGGACATGGAGCTCGACGGCTACAAGCCGTACCGGGTTCACCCATTCGAGGCTGCGAGCGGCTCTCACTGCATTGTGACGGCGGACAACTCTACCGAGGGTACCGCGTCGACGAAGCTCGAGTTTGAGACAGGAACATACAACGTCGCAGTCAACTACTACGACCAGGCTCTCGGCAACGCCACGTGGACGCTCTACCTCGATGACGACCTCGTCGGCGAGTGGAAGGGCGACCATGAATACATTCTGGGCAAGGCGCCGTCGCAGTACATCGATGGACAGACGGCGACGCGTATCACGTTCAAGGGCGTGCACGTGGAGAATGGAAGCACGCTCCGCATCGTAGGAAAGCCCGACGGGCAGGAGCCGGCGCCGGTGGATTACATCTCCATCCTGCCAGAGGGTACCATAGATTAGGTCTAGTATTCATTTTGCGTTATATAAAGAAAGAGACATTTCGAGAACCCACCCCTGCTTGATGTGACAATATCCCAAGGCAGGTACTCTGTTTGCATGAGTGTGGCATGCCTTCGTCTATGGTGGCTGATGAAGTGGCTGGATTTTTTGGGGGCTTGCTAGCGCACCAAGGTAAGGTACTTCACCTAGGTACGCGTTATGGTGGAAAGGACGTGGGTGGGCACGTAAAATTGGTGACATGGCATTCTACCACAA